TATATATACATATATATATACATATATATATATACATATATATATATACATATATATATATATATATATATATATATATATATATATATATACGCACGCGCGCACATACATACATATATATACGCGCGCACATACATACGCGCGCACATACATACATATATACGCGCGCGCACATACATACATATATACGCGCGCGCACATACATACATATATACGCGCGCGCACATACATACATATATATGCGCACATACATACATATATATATGCGCACATACATACATATATATATGCGCACATACATACATATATATATGCGCACATACATACATATATATATGCGCACATACATATATATATATGCGCACATATATATATATATATACATATATATATGCACATACAAATATATATATATGCACATACAAATATATATATATGCACATACATATATATATGCACATACATATATATATGCACATACATATATACACACACATGACAAAAGTAAAACAAGTACAAATTTATAAATAAATATACTTACCTATAGATTCTATCTCAAGTTTTTTCCCCCCCCATAAATCTTAATTCTTTATGCAAAATCAAAAGATAAAATCTAGTGACCTATCTATAATAAAAGAACTACAAACAAGGAAAAGCCGTAGAATGACGAGGTTATGTCTAAACAATTGTGTGAAATCTAACATCTTGTCTGCAAGAACATGGTGCAAAATTAATGAGAAGCCTTTTGATTATTAAGCTAAAATCTTTTTTAATTATGTTCCTCCACTAATAATAATAATATAAGCACAGCTCAGGCAATATATATAAGTTCAGTTTTCTATCATAAGTAGTTTGATCTGATTTTGAAAACGTTTCTCCATTGATCCATGAATTGAAATTTGTTCGATGGATCGGAAACGACAAAAAGCGAAACCAAAGCAAACAAGCGAACCTCATTAATAAGAAAACTGATGGTTTGATTTACTAACCACTTGCTGGATGATGGCGTGGTTTGTTGCATTCATGCAGGCGCCCATCGGATGAATGCACTCGCCGTCGCAGTAATACGCAGAGTATCCGTTCGGAGCCAGAACCCAGTCCTGTTCAGAAAAGAACCGTTAGTTTAGGACCAGCCGTTATCCATGGAACAAGTTAATAACACCAAAACTACAATATAAACATTCTCTGCAACTCTTGAACTTTTGTTTATAATTTACAAGAAAAATATATAAGTTCCAGGTTTTAATTTTATCAACTAAAATGTTTCTGTAATTATTCGTTTCTTTTCTAATTTAAAGATTTAAAGACATTAGAGGCATCCTCTGAGTATAATAAGACTGAGGAAAAATGAAAAACCCTTAAACCTCTGGGACACAGTTCAAGAGTTTCATCATTTTTAGATTCAATTACTATATTTGGACAATATTACAAAGATAAAACTAATAAAAATATGTCCCCCAAACTAACACTGCTTGGTGCCCTAATTTTAGCATCCTTACCCACCCAAACTTTCCTTATCTAAACTTCAGTGTCTTTAATTTTATACACATCTATCAAGTTTTTACTTTTTTGTCCAATTTAGGAGGTGGGGGTGTTTTATATAAAGAAAACAGATTTATTTTGCTGCAACCTTAGAGGATTCAATAATAAAATAGTAATTCTGACACAATATTTCTGTTCATTTTCATGTTAGGAAATAAATCAAAAACTAAAATACAATAAGTTTATTCTTATTTGTTTTCATCTTTTTCCTTATTTCTTGCCCTGATAATAAGTCCAGATTCAGGGTAACTGCTCTCTTGTTTCTTCCAGCAAAGATCAGGAATATTGAATATTTCTGATCATAAATGAATGACCTGGTCCTAGCATCAGAGCTTAACACGGATTTAGCTTCCTGAAAGTTTTATTAGTCTGCTCATTGGTTCTGTAGTTATTATCTAATAGATTGGTTTTTAAACTTCTTATAAAGTCTAAATTGGTTCAGCTTCAGTTCTGCAGCGTTTAGATGCATCTCGGCTCCAACAGACCAGAATACACAGACCTCTCCTGATGAAGAGGATCCATGTTTCCAGGAGCGATTAAGCAGGGATGCATTTAAATGCTGCAGGATAGCAGCTCTAGAAGACTGGAACCGATACAGCAGACCTACAGACAAAATAGACATGGCTTCTCCAGGCTTCCTGGTCGGTGCACCGTCAAATAACCTGGAACCATCACAGAATCGGCTTTTTTGACTTTTTTAAAGTAGTAGGGAAACGGCCGTTCCAACACTTTGGTGCACAACTTTACATAAGTGAATAAAGTGAATTTGTTTGGTCGTTTGTAACGACCTGTCCAGGGTGTACCCTGCCTCTCTCCAGCTGGAGATAGGCACCGGCACTCCTTGCAACCCCAGCAGGGATAAACGTGATAGAAATGGATGGAGATTATATATATATATATATATTTTTTTTTTTATATTTCAATGGTCGATTGTGGTCGGTGTCTCGGAAGCATCTTGCTAACCAGTTAGCAACTTAGTGCTAGTAGGTTTCCAATGGGAAATTACATTGGGACCAAGTAGCACTTAGCAACGACACTGTCAAGGAACGCTATGGACAGCAGAAACATTCAAGAGGAGGAGAGTTTAGTGTCGGAGGTCATGGATGAGTCTCCTCCATCATACATGTTTTATTTAGAGGAGGAAAGCGGGGACTTAAGGGCAGATTATACTTCTGCAACTGCACACATCAAATGTCGCTTGGGTCTGGTATTCTTCTGCACCGTCGGTCTGAAATTTGTAGAGACGCACAGCAGTTTCCTGTCAAAGCGCTAGGGGGAGCCTATTCGAGAACTCGCTAGAACTTTGGCTGATGGTCACGAGTGTTTATCTTCCAAAACAACAATGGCGCATCTGCAAAATATCACGGGAGTTGCTAGACGTCGAAGAGGAACTGGTTACGTTAATGGAGTTGGCAAAAACACTGATTAACCTTTCTAGTTGTCCATCGTAGTTGTTCCTCAGTTTTTAAAAATGGCCTACGCCTGCCGAAGACACAGACGTCCATCCCCGTGAAGACTGGGACGGAACCCAATGGAAAGGAAATGATTTTTATTCCAACTGTTGCGTATATTAGCTGTGACATATGAATAGAGAAGCAATGACCAAAAAAATTAGAGTGACAGGTGACCGTTGATATATGATTGGCCAAATTTAGGTGTCCAGGCTGACGTAGAACTAACTGGCCTGCAGAAGATAACGGAAAAAAAAGATTTTTTTTTTTTTTATAGAAATTTTCTACATTTTGGGACAGTATCGTCTGATAAAGGATAAATTTAAGCATTTAAGCCAGAATCATCTGACTTCCCTACGATTTTAAAACCAATTAGCTGCTTAGATCTAGAAACAGAAATCTGGAACCAGTTTACCTTCCAGCCCAGGTCACCGAAGCTGACGTAGAGCTCGTGTTTTTTGCAGGGCTGACCTTTGCTCACCGAACCACGACCTGAAAATAAGACATTTTTAAAATGACCATTAATCAAAGTCAAAAGATTGAGGATTTAATTTAATAATTTTCTGTGTGTTTTTCAAGCTAAACTCTGATCTAATCTAAGGAAGGTTGTGAACAGATAAAGTCTTTGGTTGGTCTGACAGCGCGTTAGCTTCACTAACCGTGGATGGTGGGGATTGGGAGATCATATTTGGTTTTCTTCCTCCTCTGATGGGGCCTGACGGCTCGCGGCGGCCGACACGGGATCTGGCTCTCCCTGAAGAAGGTCACCATAAAGGGCTGCTTGGAGCGAGGGCCTCTGCGACCCACCAACCCGATCCAGCTCGCAGACAGGGAGCGATCTTAGGGGGGGGAGAGATGCTTGTAAGGACAAAATAAACCTAATAGCCTGAGCTGTGGCGGCCCGGCGGCGCTCTCACCGTCCTCCGTTTCTACGTAGAGACGGATGCCCAGGTTGCTGCGAGGCTGAAGCAGCCAGTGGTTGGAGGCAGAGGTGACATCGAACGCCAGCCAACCCTCCTGTCCCGCAGGAACCGACTGCATGTCCAGCAGCACCAGCTCCGGCTCTCTGCAGCAACAGAACAACACGGAAACATCATTAGACTTAGACAACTTTTACTTTCATTTTTTACACACAGTGTATAAAAAACAAAATTGTGTTTGGTCAAAGCAACTCATTGATTTATCATTTATTCACTTTTACTATTTGCACCTTTAAAATAACAAACGTTTTAACCTCGGACCTTAAGGTTCTCATGAATTAGAAGAGGTTTAAACAATTCAATCTGAGCTACAGACTTTGACAAATTTACTGAGATTTCTTTGGGATAAACCAACACAAAATTAGGAAAGGAATAATTGAGGTTCATCAATTCTCACAATATTCTTAAACGGGTGACCTGTTGAAAACCCTTTAACCCTGAAGACCCTAAATAAAATAGTTTAACTGTAGAAGAGATCCAGTTAGTCCAGCTTTGTGATTTAATCTCAGGATAAATCAGAGGACCAAGAGTCCAGCAGTCGGGTTATGGAGAAATTTGACATGTTCTAAAACATCCCATAGAACTCTGGTTGATCCATGGAAAAACATTTTAATAAGTGCCATCAATCAGTAACCTGCCTTTGCCAGATGGATTTGCTCCGCATATCCATCTGGAAACCTTCCGTTGAAGTAATTTTGGGAAGGGGTGAAAATACTGGTTAGCTGATTGGCCTATGTTGGTGATAGACGGGCCAAATAAACCAATCAGATCAACGAAGCATATGACGTACTAACAGAGCGACGACGAAGAGGAGCCAATTGATAGATCAAACTCTTGCCGAAACCAGTCGGGAGAAGAGCAAAAACATCTTTTCCTCTGAGAAAAGCCTCCAGAGCAGTGTTTTGCTCTTCTTTCAGTGAAGAAATACTCTGTAATTCCCATTAAACTTGCTCGATAGCCACGCTAACGCTAGTTTCATCGGCTGAAGCCGCCATGTTCTTTAGACTGAACTGTCGCGCTTCTCGTTGCGTCACACCTCAACCCGCCTCAAAGAGAACGCTGATTGGACGTTCGTTTGATGAACGGCTCCAAATTTTCTTTAACGGAAAAGTAGCCAGACTGATTAGCGAGTGAAACCTTAAAAGCTCGCAAGATCAGGATGGTCTCACGAGGCTAATCAATCAGCGCATATGCTTAAAAACAAAAATCACTGTCCCACCATTTACACACAATAACAAATAACTGATACAAAACAACTAATAAATGAGAATAGTACATTCTCTCGCACATCATCCATGATGATTAATGGTTATTTTTGGTTGCATTTAGTTTTGTTATTGCTGTCGAGTAAAATGACCCACGGAAACCCTGATACATGTACTAATTACATTGTTATGGTCATTTTTACAGTGAAAGTGGGCAGTACCAAGATATTTATATATTTTTTCAAAACAAAGCGGCGCGTGTATGACGTCATCTGTGCGCCGGACTGGAGTCGTGACAGGCAGCCCGGGTCACAGGCGGCTACGCTCTACCCCTGCTATTCATTCTAGCTCATCTGAATCATTCAATTCCATTTAGAGAGCGAGATCATCTGTAGTAGCAGCACTAGATCTTCCAGGCATGTGAGGAAAACTAGCAGCAGTTCAGAGGACAGGAGGAATGAACGGTAGCCGGCACGCGCAGATGATGTCATACACTCTCCGTTTTGTTTTTAAAAAATATAAATATTAAAAATATAACCGCGGATGTCTGGGGGACAGTGATTCTCCTACATGTTATGAATGCTGGCGTACCATAAAGAATAAATTATGAACAGTTTAGTTTGTGCCTTCAAGTCGTTAAGAATATCTTCAGAACGGCTCCAAATGACACAAAACTAATATAGGTGAGTAACTTGATGTAATAACGTAAAATCAAGGGCCCAAAGTAAAAAAAACGTGTTCCCCTTTAAGCAGTGACTCTGCCACCATAAAACAGCACCAGTGAAAGGGCATCTAGACCTTCAGCTAACTGCAGTCTGACCAGTCATTCTGCTCACTATCAGAGAAATTAGTTAATTAGCCATTATGCTAAATCCTGGTAGTGTTTGGTTAGAAGTAGGTTTGATGAAGGGCTCTTTTGCATTGTTTAAAGTTTTATTATGGTCGTTTGTTTTTTCTACAAACTTTAATTATTCAGCTGTGGCTAAACAGCTGCTGCTAAAACCAAACTCTGTGAACATTTGCTTGTTCTCAGCAACGAGGTACGAATCTGAACCTTGAGTGAATTTCTAAACAACAGAGAAAACTTCACGCTCTGATTCGAATCCAAGAACAAAAAAGTTATAAAATTAGCTGGAAATGTTAATTCAATAATAAATACATCTTAAATCAATAAGTGATTTTAAATTTAACCATATAAAAACTGTATGTCTTGTAATAAATCTTTAAACTTATAAAAAATAATACAAAAGTAAAAGTAAAATCAATAAACGACAAAAAAAATCACAAAATTACATGGAGAAGTAGCATTTAGTTCCTAGGCTCCACTTATCTGGAACAAACTTCCAGAAAACTGTAAAAGTGCGGAAAGCCTGAGTTCCTTTAAATCAAGACTAAAAACAC